TAACCCTAACCCTAACCCTAACCCTAACCCTAACCCTAACCCTAACCCTAACCCTAACCCTAACCCTAACCCTAACCCTAACCCTAACCCTAACCCTAACCCTAACCCTAACCCTAACCCTAACCCTAACCCTAACCCTAACCCTACGCCCTAACAGCGTTCTTAACTCTTCGCGGCGGCATATGGGGCTTTGGAGCATCACTGCATCACTCTTCGCTTTGCCGTGAGGCCATTAGGCAGGTTCAATAGAAACTCGGGGTTGTCGACTGGATCTTTGCTTTCGAGCGTTACGGTGATGGCACTTTTGCCCTTCGCTACCAGGATCCCGCGCTTAGCATCGAGGCTTACTTTGGCCTTGAGGGAAAGCCGCGGACATTCTTGAGAGACAGGAGTGAGAATGTTTGCAAAGCCCAGGAGGGCGGGAAGAAAAATGCTGGAGCAATTTTTCATACTTTATCTCGTCAATCGATGCTGTATAGGTGCTTTGATATTTGTTTTCAAGCATCCGACGTGTTGCGTTGTGAAATTATACGGAAGCATCGGTACAAAACGTACATAAAATCTGGGTGATACAGCTATCTGCAACGGCTAATTGTAGAGCTTTATTGATTTGATATCACATGGCTTGACCACGATGAGAATATCTGCGTCGCTTGTAACCTTTCATTTTTCACAGGACTGCCAGGGTGTCGCCAGAAGCTCATCAAGCCACGAATTTTAGGGACCACCACCAATTACCACAATGGCATACAACAACCCAAAACAGTGCAAGCAATAAAAAAGCGATGAAAGTCCATGAACATCATCATACGAATTGGTCCGATCATTTGAGGAGAGATATATGGAGAATGCTGGTTCCAAGACAGAATAACACCGCACACAGTATGCTTTTCATCGCGTACCTTCTGAAATGTTGGGCAAGTGAAGACCGAGGAGGATGGCCTTCAGTAAATGTCCACATATGTATCCAACACGGTACTTGCGTTAAGTGATCAACATCGGAAGACCTGACTACCAGGCCTCTCCTCCCGTCCGTCTCTACGGTCCTGACGGCGATGACGCGCGCCCGCCGTCTCCTTGGCTGGAGGCACCGCCGAGCGTCGCGGTTGTTGGAGTGCTGGACCCAACGAATGGAGAAATGGCCGCGGAATGCGAGGGAGAGGGGGAGGGCGGGACGGAGGACCGATTGCTTGAGCCAGGTTGAACTCTGGATTTTTGGCAGGGAGGATACGGGAGAGACTGAGTAATATGCAATCTACATAAGGCTAAGGGTGAGGCGAGCGCGAGATGCGGAACGAGGGGAAAGGTACGACAGAAATCGGACCAAGATGTCAGCCCTTCCGCGTCACGAGATTTTGATATGTCAGGTCCATGCCACCGGAGAGGTAGAAGAGGAGAAAGGGAGAACCAAGGCGCCCCCTGTCCTTTCTTCTCACCGCTCGATCGGCAGGCCTAGCTTTCTGTACCGGCGTTCGATGAAAGCCGCCACCTCAGACCTATTGCTCTGCCTCGCCCACTCCAAAGGAGTGAGGCCCCATACGTTAGGAAGCTGAATGTCATTCGACTTCATCTGTGGGATCGGAGAGGGAGGTAAACAATACAAGAAATGCCACCACCATGGGCCCAGCATCGCCCACAGCGCCGGCCAGCGCACGCGTGTCCTCCCTTCCGGCAAAGGCTCCCACCTTCTCGAAGATCTCGCGCGCGCTATCGATCTTCCCAAACCAGGCAGCCATCATGAAGGGCGTGTGCTGCAAGTGGTCCTGGACGTTGGGATCTGCCCCCCCCTTGTACAGCAGCTCCTTGATGCACGCTGTTTGACCCCTGAAAGGTGGGTGGGGTGAGCGCGTGGAGAGACAAGGAGGAGTCAGTGCGATATGAGAACGTGAGTTGCCCCCTCTCACGGGGCCTCATTTGTCAGAAAGAAGCCCCAAAAATGGGACCACCACGGCAGATTGGCGTTTCAACGGCAGACACCTCTCGCCATTGGGCTTAACTCACGGCCTCTCATGATCACGAGAGGAGCAAGGCCGCTCGCATGACCTGCCTTCGCTGTCCTGAGTCCTCACCAGTAGGCGGCTCGATGAAGAGGTGTGAGTCCGTTTTTGTCCGCGGCGTTGGCGTCGGCATTGTGCTTCAAGAGATCCTGGTCGAAAGACGTCAAGTAGGAAATATGGGATGGAAAAGAAGGTGGGAATAGGGGGCTCTGAGGACTGGATTGAAGGATGACGGAAGAGGCCCTCATGCTTAGGCACATTCAGGGTTCGGGCTGGGGTAAGTCGCGCAGAGCCGAGACACAGGCGCCGAGATGGACCCTGTTTGCGAGCGCCTTACCTCCACCACCTTCTCGTGGCCTTTCCCTGCGGCCCAGTGCAAGGGCGTGTAGCCCGCCTTGTCGACAGCCGCGGGCGACGCCCCTGCTTGCAGGAGCAAGCGGACGGCCTCCACGACCCCCTGGATGGCAGGGGAGGGAACAGACCAAAACCAAAATTCCTGAACTCTGAAGGTGTATTCAGGCCGGCACACGGGGGACACACGACAGGGCGTCCATCCTAAGCGTCTCCTCATCCTCTTCATCACCGCGTAGGGCATTCTTTTTTTTGCGCACCTGACCAATCTATCCCCATGTACCCTAAGACGAGTCCTTACCTCTGCAGCTGCTACGTGCAAAGGTGTCTCCTCATCCATTCTCCCTTTCGCATGAACGAGAGCCTGCTAGGTGCCAGAAACCAAAGGAGACTGAGGGTCGAATACTCCGTGGCGTGACGCAGTGTTGGTGCTTTAAGAGCAATGAACTCCAGCAAATGCGCCTCAAAATCGCTCTACGAGTCCCTGTTGAGCAAACCCTTGCACCAAACACAAGCCTCCAGTCCATTTTTCTGTTTCAGCTTGCTGCTCACCTTGTTTTGACTCAGAAGCACACGCAAGCGCCCCAAGTCCACCTCTTTTTTTTCCTGAGTGACGCTTCCGCGGCACTGAATTAGCTGAAATATCTCCTCCACGCTCATTTCTGGGATACTATAGCATGAGCAGGCCCTGTGGTTAGGTGCATATTGTAATCTAAGTTACCTGAGACAGGACTGTGCATGCGGTGTGATGGAAAAGATGGCGCTTTGTGCGGTGTTCGATGCACGGGACTAGGCGGAGGAAGGCTTTCTAGACGTGCATTTTAAGGCTTGCATCCTACGCATTACTGTCATACATATATGCCAGCGTATATAAACGCGGTGTACGGGTGTTTAAAGGCGACTTTGTATAAACCAGAGGCGGGCTCTGTGCTCGCTCGCTCCAGCCTGAGAAGTGGGGAGGTTAGAGATCTACCACGAATGTGACTCTGAAAACCCTGTACCTCGTTATGTACACCACTTGAGAGCTTTGAAAGCTTTACCTGCTGTCCTAGATGTTTTGAAAAAGTTTTTCTACGAACGAAATAGGAAAAAAAGAAGATAACGTGAAATTATACGCCGCTGGCTCTTCAGCGTAGCATACAAAGTTTCCCCTCATGTTGCCATGGGTATCGCGATGATTACATTACATCGAATAATCAGAGCTCATGTTCCGTACTGTTCTCTTTCCTTCAACTTGTCCTTTTGTGTGCTTTTACCAAATGCATCATAGCTGCTTTCTATTCTCTCCCGCATTGCACAAACGTGTTGGCTAAGCAGTCATTCGAACGAAGAAAAACTTCCAAATTCTCTTTTCCATGACTATCTAACACATAAGGTCCTATGAAATATCGCACTCGAAAGATGGTTTCAAGATATACAGCGTTGTACCCAAATCGTGCCTTTTTAGTGCTCCTTCCAACTCCACCAGCCCTTCACACGAGCAGTGCACAAACAACATCGTGCGATGAATGGCTTTCTAAATATATGCAGCTCCGACGCTTCAAGCCCCGTCTCGGGGAAGGTGCATGCGCCCATGCCTAGATTGAAATGAGTGCGCCAGCTAAGAGATGAAGGCCCTGCCCTTGACTTTCGAAAGGTCTTCCTTAGTGGGCACCGTGTAGGCGCTTCCGCCATCGTAGCCTGCAAACACCTAGATTTTACAGAGACAAAAAGGGCGCACAAGGTTAAACTGTTCACGAGGTAAACAAAATATAGATGACTGAAGCTATTGCCGGCGAGGCGTTTGGTCCAAGAAGGTTGTACGTAAGGGGAAAAAATGGGCTTCATTCTGTTGCTCGGGTGTTTACCTTGGCGGCGATCTCCACGCTAGCATCCTTCGGCACGAGCCCTGGAGGGATGGGGACGCGCTCATCGATGCTGATCCCGCTTTTGGTGATGGCCTCATACTGTGGGAAGGGGGTAGGAGGTCAGGACCGGGACGCGCTCAATACTGAGGACTGCTTGTCCGACGGTCATCCGTGAGCGAGAACGCAGAGGAAGGGGGCGAGAGGATGGTACATGCGCGCCGTACGCTACGCATGCTCGGGGATGTGGTGTACTTCCCTTTCAGCCATGGGCGTCCTCGTAACATCCCTGCTTTCGCCCAATTGAAACATCGTCATAATTTAGCCCCCACCCCTCCCCCCGGTGGCTGACCTTCATATCTGACATGGAGATGAACCTATGAATTCTGGTCACGCCCAGCCAATGCAAAGGGTCGGGCATGAGCGCCTACAGGTACGCAAAATCAGGATGATAGGGAACGATGAAGGGAGATGAGTAATTCTACCCACTCACCCAGAAAAGTTAAAGTCTTTCGGTTCCATACTTTGACTTTTTGGGCGCCCCCGTCCTCCCCCCTCACACGCATTGCCCTAGAGGTGGTAAAAACAGCCCCCCCTGATATATATATATATCAAACACTTTTACATGCACACAAGATCGATTCCTCCGACGTGCAAGGCCTGTATTTCGTGCGTGTCTTACCTGAAAGCGCGTGTCGGTGATGCCTGCCACATGCTGCGTGCAGTTGAAGTATTCGTCGGCCCTGTCTCCACCTAAACTCCATATACAGGCGACATAATGAGGAGGCAAATCCCAAGCAATTAAATATATATAGTGGGAATACCAGACACAACGTTGAGAAGATTCGAGGAGGGATGGGGATTAGGAAGGGACCGAAGGAGTGTGGGAGGAGGCATGCTGCTGCCACAGAGAGGAAGAAAAAGACGAGGGACCCGCTGTCCCTGGGGCATAGGACCGACACGAGGTAGGTGAGAGACGGTGGGAGAAGTGGCCCCTCCGGGCGAGGGCTCTCACCTTCCTGGCGCTTGCGCATGTTGTAGACGAGGTACTTGGTCACCTCGCCCAGCGCCCTCCCCTCCTTCCGGTAATACACGATGATGCCTGGGAGGACGGTTGAGAGGGCAAGCGTCAGGGGTGTGCAATCTTCGTCCATCAAACGTTGTGACGAGTTGTTCCAGAGCTAAAACCATCGTGGAAAAATGCCAAAGGCAGCGACCATCCCCTTCACTCCATCCCCTTCCCGTCCCCCTCCTTGCTCACCGGTCCCGCCCTCAACCGCCGTTCTCACACATTCCTCGATCGCGTGGATCAAGTACGGCCGGCAAGTGCAAATGTCAGACCCAAACACGTCGGATCCTGGGGGAAACAACGGCAGAGAAGGAGAGAGGGCGGGGCGAAGGGGCGAAGGTATGTGTGAGTCTGTGTATGGCACGGTTTTAGTTGATCATTCAACGGGTGTTTCGAAAACCTGTCACACAAAGATTCACCGTTGCACTCGTCGTGGACCCGGGCCGTGAGAGGCACGCTCTCGTCAGGAATTTTCTCGGGGTCGCCGAAAATGTAGACAGTGCTGCCGCCGATGGGGGGGAGAAAAACCTGGTGGAGGGGCAGCGGGAGAGAGGGAAGAGTAGAGGAGTGACGGAGAGAATGCAGGCGAATTGAGGCGAAAATGCGATGACTGGGGGGGAAAAAAGGGTAGGAGCGACAGAGAAGGGAGCGAAGGGTTGACAGAGCGGTAGGAGACGGATGCCACAACATCTCGAGCAACTCGTAAGACGGGGTTACCTTGATGTCGGGGCGGGTGATGAGCTCGGGGTACATCATGTTGGTCTCCACGAAGAGGGTCTCGCGGAGCTTGGCCTCCGACACAGAGAAGCGCTCCGCCACCGCAGGCAGGTACCAGACCGGCTCAATGGCAGCCTAGGGGGAGGAGCGTCAAAAAGGCGCGCATGGAGACGAGGGGATAGCGGGCATAGGGTTTCTTCAAGGCTCAGGAAGGGCATGTGCGGGAAAGGATCGAGCTCAGAGCCCCCTCTACGAGCCGTCGTAGCTCGCCTCATCCCTCCCTAGATTCCCCCCTTTCCCCCTCCCGCCCTTTACCTTGGTCACATTCACTTGCCCGTCTTTGGTCAGCACATTTCCGTCCGCGTGCAAGCGGCCCAACTTCATCGCCTGGGAGGGTAGAGAGGGGAAGGTAGGAGTTCGGTGGGGGAATGAAAACGATAGCAGGACCTAAGCGGGCGGCAGGAGAGGACGAAGGTCAAGCCGTGGGGAGGAGCCCCTGTCAAGCCGCTAGGAGGCTAGGGGATTACCTGGCTAATCTCGGAGAGCTCGATGTGTGCCTGAGATAAGGGGGGCGTGAGACGAGGACGAGGAGATGAGGACAAGGACCGGGTCAAGCCCCGCGTAGGTCTTGACTGAGAGAGGAAGCTTTCCTTCCTCCCTCCCCCCCCTTCTCCTGACAAGTGTCTTCCTCACCTTGGTCACGGCGATGGTGGGACGTATGTCGAAGCCCTTCCGGAGGTACGCGGAGAAAGCCTCCTGTGATTATCGAAGGGGAGGACGGTCGCAGTGAGCGGGGAAGAGGGCGGATCACCTTGGAGGGGGAAAGGATACGGGCCGGCCAAGGGCTGAACGCCGACCTGAGTGACGTGACCGAAAGGATCCATGGCGACGATCTTGTGGTGCGCCCACCTAAGGGCCAAGCGGGCGTCACGGTAAGGGAAGAGGGAGGGATCGAAGAGGATTAAATGAAAAAGTGAGATGAGCTCGGGCTAACTGTCGGGAAAGCGTCGGCCAGCCGAGGTAAGACCACCTATGCCTCCTCAACTAATACCCTATATCCCGCACTTTATGCCTCCCCTGTATCCGCCCGGCCTCATACAACCCGCCCTCCCCCTCCACCCACCACTGGGGAAAGGGCCCGATCTTGGCCACGGGCGTCGTGTTCTCGAACCTGGGCTTGTAGTAGGGGTCCAGCGCCCCGGCTGCGACTGCCAGGGCCTGAAAGAGGGAATATATAGGGGGGTGCGTGAGCGAGTGGGAAGAGGAAGGCGCTGGCCAGTCCGTTCGCACCTTGTAAATGCAGTAGGAGCCTGAGTGGGCTCCGATGGCGTTCCTCTGTCGGGTGGGGAGACGAAAAGCGAACATTCCGTTACCATTTTGGCTCTTCTTTTATAGTACTGACTACACTTGATGCGTCCCATTCCATTTGTATTCCCTCCCCCTTCCTCCTCCTCTCCCACCTGGCTCTGGTGCCGCGTGGTGGCAACGATGGGCCCGCGGACCTCGGGGTCCTCCTCGCCCCACTGTCGCGTTGCATGAGGTGGGTGAAAAGGGTTAGTGTCCTCAAGATCACGACTGGGCTCGCTTCGAGGTTGCCTAGTCGTTCCTGGACTTATTGTCTCTTACCTTCATGGGGATAGGGTCAGAGCCAAACTGTTGATCGTGAGTGGTGAGAGTGTAGCACTCTGGCTTGGCCAGATCAGGCTCAGGGATGGTCGATTCTATGACAATAGGATGTATGTGAGGAGATTAGATGGAATGGCGTGCTTGCTAAGGGTAGTCGCTTCAGGACATGAGATGAGATGGTGAGGCAGTCTGAGACTGACTTCTCGTGGCAATGACGCCAGGCGGATGGTAGCAGGTCTCATCACGCTGCTCCAGCCCAACCTCAAAAGAAAAGAAGTATGACGCACCATCAATAGAGCTCCGACGCTTGCCCAGGGTCGAAATGCCATGCATGGTGTCAATTGAAGAGTAGTGATGAATGTATATCGGTCCTTCCTTGCAAAGGTGTATCCACGGCCTTTAAATTTCCACGCGTAAAGGTTCTGAAACTACATATTTGTCCAATGTAGATATATGAGAATACATTAATTGAGTATCCGGCCCTTGTAAGAGAAATGACTTCCTTTGAAATAATGGATGAGCAGTCTTTTTTGCTGGTCTCTTCAATCCCTCGCCCCGTTCGCTCAAATCGATCCCGCGATGGTTTGAGCCTCTGCACCGCATGCGCAATGGGCCACTTTGGCAAGGATTACTAGTCTTCCCTTCCGTCCTCGCTGTCCTTTTATATTCTATTGGACTAAAATAATACTTTCTCGCCTAAGGGTGCACCTATGGGCGAGATGCCTGGTCTTTCCCTCCTTATCATTCGTGAATAATATGAGTATATGAGTAGCTAACCTCCTCCTAATACCAGCTGCACACTTTTCTTGTATGCCACTCAACTGCTGCACAATCACGTAGACAAAATGGATGTGATTATTGCTCAATTTTTCATTGAGATCATACAGAAGGCAGCCTTTTGTGTGCACCCGACCACGGAGGTCTTGACTCTTCTTCAGCGTTGCGTCCCTCTTCCCTCCTCCTCACGAGACAGGGAACCTAAAGCTAAGCTTTCAAGCACTTTACCATCAAAGGTACTCATTCAACGACTAAAGCGCACTCATTTGAATATTCTACTATTTCTCAAAGCCTATATTGTCCTTTCATACATAGCGTCACCTTCGTCACTTCCCGACTTCGTCCCCTTTCTTGACTTCATATCTAATCACAATGACAAATCAATGTCAATTGCCCTACAAGGTACAGTCTGTGCGGACGTAGAGGGAAGACAAGTCGGAGTATAACTTTCGACACAGCTCAGGGTGTATGATCTTAGACGGCTCGGGATACATGATCTTGAAAATGAATGAAGCCGGTTTAGGTTTCGGGAGTAGATTATTCAGTTCTCCGTCGTATACGAATGAACATAATTTATATAGCCCTTCTCCATGGAAGACCACTGTCGTCTTCTGGCTGCGTTGGAAAGGCTGGCACCTGCCGCTGTTCCACAGCCTCCTTCGTCAGTCTTTTTCGAATTGTCCGCACCACCAGTCGAGGAAGGTGATGCCAAGTCGGTGTCCCAGAAGGGGGGCTTGAGTCCAGGTAGTCACAGCAGTCATCAATCAAAACATGCCTGGACGGGGAGGGAATGGTCGATACTGGCGGCGAGTGTGGGAAAGGAGCGAAGTGTCATGGAGGTGAGCAGGGAAGCATATTTCTGGGCCAGCGAGAAAAGCAAAGTACCGAGGTTACAACCTTGCCATTCTCAAGTGTTATCTTGCTACTGTCCACCCCTTTACCTCTGCCAGATCAAGTTGCATGCACATCAGTACTTCCTAAAGCTGCATGCCTCCCTCGGCAGCGACCCGCCCTTGCTCCTCCCTCCGACTGAGGCAGAGACAGTCGTAGCCGGGGGGCATATAAACCATCACGAGAGCTTAGAAGAGGTAAACAAAGCGAAAGTGAGGGAAGGGAAGAGTGAAAAAAGAGACCAAGAAGCAATCTTGCCCCTGGAAAAGCAGATTGAGTCTCAAGGGGAGGAGTCTCAGGAGTTTATGCCGAGGCAAGGGGAGCAGAAGGAATGTGAACACGAGGGGACCCCGGGAAATGAGGATGCGAGAAGGCAACAGGAAGTGCATGGAGCTCAGCAAAATATAAATTTGGTCAAAATATGTGCTGAGAGCGGGATTGGGGCCGTGAATGATGGAAAGAAGACTGTCAATGGTGAGAATGCAGCAGAAAACACAGATCTCAGGCAGGAAAACTTCATTGCCAATCCAACGACTGACGGAGAAAGTACTCGCTATCCCCAGTAAGGGAGCAAAGGATTCTGTCGAGCAGCTTCAATTTGCGTGCTTGTAGCAGTAGCTGATTCCGTATATGTGGAGAGCTAGAGAGGAAAGTGAAGAGAGGCCGGTGCCCGTGAAAACATGCAAACATGAGGAAGCGATGCAGCTGAAAAAGTAAACCGGCTTTGCAAATAGGAGACAGGATGCAGTACGAAGAAAGGCTACGAGTGCTGCAAATGATCGATGGCCGTGAGTCTGAGGTAGCGACATCTGCACCCCAAAGAGAACAAGGAAGGTAGAAGAGGAAAAGTCTGAAAATCATGCTGAACGGACATCTGGGAACAATGGGGGTTACCAACCGCGAGGGATGCTTGAGTAAAATAATCTGGGAATGATGACGATCTAACTTACGAGCATTCTCCAGGCCACTACTGGATGGTCCTGAAACTTTTTTCACAAGCTATACCTCTGAAGGCGGGAGACGTACGGATTGGAGGTATTGACCGTAGACGAAAAGCACTTTGACAAAGATAGAATATCCACCCGAAGGTATGCAGAAAACGCTCCCTGGACAGCCACAGACTGAGAGAAAGGTAGCTTTGAATTTCAATGCATTGTTACTCTGAATAAATGGGGGCCAAAGGAGGGCTTAGAGCAAGTTCCTCGAATACTCCCTCAAAATAAATCTAAATACGACTTGTACTGGAAGAGCTCGCTACTTCGCTTATCCCATGGTGGCAAGCCAGCCTTTGCCACCAGGCAAACCGTCAAGCTCTGCACACCCCCTTCCATGGCGATCCCCTCCCCTTTCCGCCCGTCGCCCCCTGACACTCCCTTTGAACATCCGTGCGGGACAAGGGCCTATCTTCCCGCACTTTTCCTCAAGGCTCCCTGTTCGAGGCTGACTTTTCCAGTACGCTTTGCATCTCCTGGTCCCCTGTCAAATGCATGAGAGCCCCCTTCAGCATAACCCTCTTAGTTTTTCCCGCCTACCAACCCTCCCTCACCTGCCACAACACTCGAGACACTGCCACAGTCGTGAATATTGAGGATGGCCTCGGCAATGAGGGGCGCCACCGACAGTTGATGAATCTTGTCGTGAAGGGGATGAATCTCGATGGCCCTGGGGGAAATTCCAGATAGAAAGAGTTGTGTTGGTGATTAAGGACTTGTCTCAGGAGGGCACTGAGCATTGGGGAATGGAGCATCCGGCGAGGGGATAAAGGCTCTTGACATAAGGATAGTAAACGCCGAATCAATCTCCGATCTGAGGGAAAAGCCAGGGCAGTATACGAGTGGGCAAAGTCATACCTGAGGTACGAGTCTTCCTTCCTCCCCTACTCTCTCCTTCTGTCCCTCCCTCTCACTCACTCCCTCCCTCCCTCCCTCGCTTCAACTTCCCCTGCCTTCTCCATTTCCTGTCTCGCCCTCCTCTTTCCCTCCCTCTGCCCTCTTCTACCTGCTCTTTCCTCCCTCTAGGGGCATGGTATTGGTGACCACCACGAACTGAAGATTCTCACATTCTTGGACTCGTTTCTGTCCGTCTCTCGAGAAACTTGAATACAGAGAGGAAGTAAGGAAGAAGGACAAGTAAGGAAAGAAGAAGAGGGCGAGGTGTTTCCAGAGCAAGAAAGAGGAACGTGCTGCGGAAAAAGTGAGAGAGTGCAGGAAAGGAAAGAGAAAAGAAAATGTGTATACCGCGCATGCGTCGCAAAGCCGTAGACCCTATCGGCGCCCTCCCCCTTGAGCAAATCGACCGTGGTGGCCAAAGTCTTCCCCGTGTCTAAGAGGTCGTCGACGATGATGCACGTCCGCCTGGATAAAAAAAGGGAGAGTGCTTCATAGGCATCAAGATAGAAATCAACTCCATTTTGTCTGCATCCGTCCCTCGCGATTCATCCACCCTTCCACGGACAGGATTTACGACGTCCATAGGAAGGGAGAGCCAAGATCTCACGCACCCCGTAACATCACCGATCAGCTGTCGGAAAATGCGGCCATCCGCGTCCCGAAATTTGGAGACCATGGCCTGAGAGGAAGGAGGGAAGGATGAGGTGAGAAAGTGAGCGGCACAAGGTGGAACGCAGCGACGGGCAAAGAGAAAAGAGAAAGGAAAGTAGAAGTACGTGGACTCCAGCGAAATCCGGGAAGGGACAAAAAAGAAAAAAATGATGAAGGCAAGCGAGAGACAAGATGATGAAATCAGGGGAGGGAAAGAGTACGTAGATAAAGGTGGAAGCAGACCGCGGGTAAGGAAAGGGCCAGATGCGTCCTTTGGATTATCTCGCGATATCCACTCGTCTCACCATGTCGACAGACACATGGGGCCCCAGGAGCTTCGAAAGTCGTTCGCGGAAAATGCGAGCGCGGCGAACTTGTCCTTCGTGGGGGCGACGACGGTGACAATGGGACACGGGCCTGGCGAGGGGGTTTGGGTGGAGCAGAAGAGGGAATGCAAGGATATACGAGTCACTTGAGCGACACGCATCGTCTTGATGGGCTGTGATGGGTGGCACCGTCCGATTCCCTCCTTCCGATCTCTGGACGTGAGGAAGATTTACCTAGGCTGGTGGCACGGTTGAGGACAGTGTAGCGGGAGGAGGAGGAGGATACCCCCGCGGGCTGGAGAAAAGGAAAATTTGGGGAGGCGGGAAATGACGCATGAGAAAACATCGGCAGGCTACGCAGTTTGAAATTATGGGATTGAGCACGAGGCGTGGAGAGGGACAGGGGAAAAAAAAACAAGACGCACGTGCAGGGCGTGCCGCTTGAAGTCAGGCACGTTCTCAACGAAGTAAGCGGCGGCGGCGGCGGCGGGGGTAAGGTGATCGACGGGGACGCGGGGGGAGAAGAATCCCTGGAGATGTTCGGAAGAAGGCACGCGTCGCGGGGAGCAGGGAAGGGAGAATGAGGGAGGGTAGACGAGGGCAAAGAGATTGTCCGTCAAGACAGCCTTCTAGAACACACACGAAACTACTCATCCGTTCAGTTCCATTTCGTGTGTGCCTTATAACGACCCCTCCCCTCCCTCTCTCCGCCCCCTTCCGCACCTGGATCTGACCGGAGTGGAGGTCAACAGAGACGACGCGGTCCACGCCCACCTCCTACATTGGGAAGAGAGGGAAGAAAAAGGCGGGAAGGCGGGACAACAGAGAGGGAACACAATGCGGTCATTGATCACAGAGGGTTGCGAAAAGATTCCGAGCATGGGATCCTCCCTGTCCCAGACACACGCCTTAGGGTGATCCTTCTGAAAGGCTGAGGACAAGGCAGAACACCCAAGATAAATCATATGCGAATCAGAAAGGCCTGGCTCCGAAGAAAGGTGGACGACGGGAAGCAAACAGCGAGCAAACACAGACAGGGATCAGGGACGCAAAGAGGGGGAGGCTGGAAAAAGGAGGGTGGGAACAACGTACTTCCAGCATGCGAGCGATATCGGCAGCTGCGATCGGTTCGCGGCGAAAAGGAGTGCGTTGGTCCTAAGGGGGGAAAGAATGAGAAACATAAGCTTTTAAAGAGACCGAGGCGTGGACGAAGCCTTGGTACAACGACAGAAAGTTTGAGGAGGGCGCGGATCTATTTCGCGATCTATCGTGAATGGTAGGGAGGAAGAGCAGCAGAGACACGATCGCAATTTTGGACAACTTTAAAGCAGGCCAGAAGAAGGATAGTGTGACGGACGCTGATAAAGGGCCGGGGAGAGGAGACTCTAACGATAAAATCCGCGGAGAGGACAGTGACAATAGTGTGAAGACAACGGTAAAGGAAACATCCAGGAAAAAGCATGCGCTAATGGGAGATCAAGAATGCCAGCCAAGTGAAAGCACTGAGAAGTCCGACCTGTCTCGCGTATCCAAAGTACGGAATCACGGCCGTGATGCGCTTAGCGGAGGCACGCCGCATGGTGGAGATGGAGAGTAGGAGTTCTATCACACTAGGGAGGGAAAGAAAGAGAGTTAAGGAAAGACAGGTTGGATGAGGGAGAAGGAATCGAAAGGGGGAAGCAAAGAGTGGGATAAAGCAGAAATTCGGGGAAAAGAGCCCGTCGCATCTCACAACCAGGCAGGGAGAGAGGAGGAACAAGGGGGAAAATGAAGGGCTCGAGGACTGACTTGTCGTTGGAGTTGGTGGGGATGATGACGAAACAATCGCGGCCTCGGATTTCTTGCAGGATGCGGATGAAGACCTCACCGTCCGCAAAGCTGGGAATAGAGAGGGAGGAGAAATGGAAGAAAAGGGAAATCAAGAGAGACTGGCGTCTGAGGGAGGCGCGCGATGAAGGGAAGGATGGAGGGCATGAAGAAAGATAGAGACAGTTCAGATAACGCGCAAAGAGTGAAAGATGTTGTCCACATGTCTGGATGGAAGGGCATCTGTCTGGCAACGCGACTGAATCGCTCCTCGTCGTTAGCCTCGACGCAGGGGGGGAAAAAAAAAGAGAATCGGGAAGAAATACAGAAGAAACGCTGAAGAGAAAAGCGAGAGAAGAAGGAAGCGTGGGCGAGGACGGTTAACTAACACATGGCAGGGAGGAGAAAAGAGAGCCAGACAACGGACCGTTTTACCACGCTGTTTCCAACGGGTATATTTAAGTAGTCGCAGATCTCCTCAGCAAGCAGAGGGTGAGAGGAGCCCGAGAAAACGACGAGGTTTGAGATGGTTGAAGGGTCCTGGCGGGGGCCTTCCGCTGGGAAAGGGTAGAGGGGACGGCGGAGGTGGGAGGTTATGGAACGTGGTGGAGGTCCGGAAACCGGGAAGAGAATGGGCACAGCCGAGTACACGGGAGGAAACGGCAGAAAAGGTAGGCCGGAAGAAGAAGAAGAAAAGAAGACGAGAAAAAATGATAATATTCAGTGTGAGGAGAGGGAAGGCTTCGACGCGGTCTTTGTCGAGAAGGATTTGACGTGCCTGTGGATCTCGCCTCGGATCGGTCGGCGACTGGCAGACAAGCGAAAGGACTTTGGATCGACAAAATAGCAAGAAACATCTCATACACGCTTTCCAGCGGGGGATATATCTCTAAATAGTATAGATCTCCCTCGTATCGCTTCAGATCCTCCTTTTACCTGCGGACCATCGCCACTTTGCCTTCAGCTCTTCAAATGTTCGGCTGGTGCGTCGAGCGAGGCGCTCAGCGACCTCACTTGCGTACCATCCTTCCTCCACCTGCATCAAACCCAACAAAAAGGTTATAGAAGGCAAATTTATATACATGGAGCTTAAACTTGATTATGGAAACCTTCAAGCCTCCTTAGAAGTTGCACGATATTCTATTGTCCCCATCAAGCATATTGCACTCCAGATGCGATCAGTCCCAAGCAACTCACCTCCCTTTCGTCCCCCTCGTCCATTCTGGTAATGCCCTTCGCCCCTAAATGAAGCCCTGCTATAGCTAACGCGCCCAGCATCCACAAGCCTTGTTTTGAGGGCCACCAAGCATGATTTCTATTCCTTCCCTGCCAGTGTCCGTTTTTACTGCCTTCGAATGGTCCGCACTGCATGTGAATATAAAGTTCGAGACACTTGAGGCGTGATAAATTTACAAGCTACAACACCTTCGTTTTATCGTACGCATTATTTCTTACGGTTGGAGAGGTCGACGTTCCTCTTGATAACCATGCACTATGTGTAACCGATGAGTGGCGCTGTATTTGGAAGACATAAGCAAGACTTCTTGTACTCCGCACTCTCAACACTGTACCGGCGTTGAGAATAGCACCTCTGCTTGTACCTCCAGCTAGCAAGCGACACGTTGCCATCCTTAAAGGCGTGTGTCCCCCTTTTCGCTACCCTATATGTCTTTAATGGTTGCAAGAACGTATAAAGAAGTGAAACTTATCGTGTGCGGCAATTATCAGTCCGTCTGGAGATTTCTCGTTCCGATCAATTCTGATTGCTTCGTTGTGCCTCAATATGATCCTAGGAAGTGAAATGGTCATGCCAAAACCCACCACGTAAAACATCCGTACGCGGTGTCGGGCTTATGGGAGCAATTTAATGTGTTGTACCGGTGAAAAGAGTTGAGGAAAGGGCAACCTAATCGCTAACACAAAACCTTTTAACCTCCCCTGATATATCAGCTTTTGCCGTAAAAATGTCTAAAATTGAGGCGTGCGCATACAACAAGGACATGCGAGTTTAATCCACGACAATAAAAATCTTTACCGAATACGAGATGAAAGAGTGGTGGATCTGAGACTCCTTATCAAAGTGTACGGGTATGGACACCAGTCCATTTCTGGAGCTCGTAATCTGGATTTGAAGATCTCCTTGTGTTGCACGAGCAGACCCTTAGTGCTTTCTTGTCCCCATGGATATTGATTAAAACCAATGTGACTTATGCTTCTCTTTTTTCATTTTTTCTTCTGTGGAGGTGTATTTCTTCCCTCTTCAGTCGCCCGGTCCAATGACAGATAATTCTTCCACCATATATAGAAACCATACTTGACGTTTTCAACATGTAGGTAGCTGTCGTACGAAATTGAATAAATTTACAAAGAACTAATTGAAGGTCCCAATGTCGATATTGTCGCTTTTACTGGATAAGGAATCGACATTCACATCCACAATTCCAGAAACCCCCGTTTCCGGATTACTATGAGGAGATACTCAGAAGTAGCATCGTTGATCCCAGGGTCGGATATGCAGCGTACAAATATCCTCTAAATCCACAAAAATGACATCAAGGTGTCATATGATACACTTGATAAGCTGCAACAGTGCAGATATTTCCAAATCGTCTGCTTTACTGTTCGTGCCGTTTTAATGAAAGATGGAGATAACGATCAGAATTTCCGACCAGAAGTCTCACACTTAAGGTAATTAAAAAAGAATTGCATAACTTAGGTGCGACCATCCACATGGTTGATATCAGATGCCCAAACAACATGATGCGCCCAAACTCGGGTCATCGGAGCGGTGCCGTCTTCACAGTGCGTAAGCTGCAGAGCCTGCGGCAAAGTTACCGCATAAAGAATTATCGGATCGTTCGCGGCCTTATTCTCTTTTCATTTCCTATGCCCAGCATGGCTTTCGTCTCAATACGCTTTCCACTACTGTTTGGAAGGGAGTGGGGAATACCTACGACTTTACCTACTGCTGAAATGTTGATCCTTTCTCCACTTAACGTCGGTGCGGAGAGCATCTTAACACATTCAAGTCCTTCTTCAAACTTTTAGCGTAGTACTTATGTAGATCGATTGAAAAGTATTGGAAGAGGATAGAAAGACATGTTACTGTCAATAAAATTACCTTTTGGGATGCGAAGTTTTGAGATGTCTTGAATGATGCTTTTTTACACGAACACCAAGATCTATAATTTGCTTTGGCTCCAGAATTACAACGCGTTTACTTGTAAAATTCTTCGGAAGCAAATTTCATAGAAATTGATCGTTATCATGGATAATAAGCATGGAGGAAATGTGAAGTCTATTTCGGTGCTCTTTCCTGCTCTTTCCTGAAGTGCGTGCAGGAAGAGTACACTCTTAAAATGGCATTGCGTTGGCTCGCACTCCACCAATTTCCATCCCGCTGCTCATATGCTTCCCCAAGACATTTAGCTTCGATCTACTTGTGCGAAAGGTGCCGAAGGTCGAGCGTTGCAAGCCCCTTGCCCAAGGCAATCCAGGTGCGCCTCGGGGCCATATCGGTGAGCGCGTTGCATGCTGCCGAGACCTGCAACGATGGCTTTGTCCCCGCTTTTCTGCCGTTTCGGGGGCTCCGCGTCTCAGAAACATTCGCTTAGTGTGGCAGGACGTGGGCGTGCTTCCTGCGTGGAGTGAAGAGATGGATGGCCTTAGCGTCCAACTGTTTCCCTCCTCTCTGGTAACGTACTACTAGAAGTACTCGGTGATCCAACATTCGATCCTTTGCCTGATGCCGCCGCCTCGACATTCTTTTTATAAACCAGCAAAAATACCACGCCTACGGAAGTCTTAACAGCCAGGGGGAGGGGATGCTGGATACCAAGGAAGCCTGGCAGGTTCGTGCAGATCCCATTCTGCTTTTTTTTCTTTTCTTTCGTTCTGGAGGATGAATTACCATGCCGTCTTATCTCCACTCCGTTCGGACGATACGTCCATGGCAAAAAAAAAAAAATGAATGCTCAAGTACGCTTTCCAACCTCCTTCACATGTTCTCTGCATATATTTGCCTGATGTTGTCAGACGCCCGTGCGGCACTTTTGTGAATCTGCCCATGATCATGCCGGTCCAGAAATGTGGAGCGCGTTCTCCTCTTTGGGTATTACTTTTTTCGCCTGCCTCTGCCTCTTCACCGGGCAACACAGCAACGTGCTTGTCAAAATGTGCGCAGCCGTGCTTGCGTGGTGCGGCATCGGCTCGTTTGGCTTCCATTGGACGTTGTCGGAAGCTTGGTCCTTCCTCGATACCTTCCCCATGACAATCGCAGCGGTCTTGGGCATGTACCTGTGCTGGGCCGTTCTCATCGACGAGATATTTTTCTTCCTCTACCGTCCTTTGTCCTTGGTCCCCAGGGACGGGGAGCCGGCGCCCATGACGCAAGGCTGGGGATGGAAACCACCGCCTCCCCCTCTGCTTTTTAAACGGTGAGTGTGTCGCGGGTCAGGAGGTGGGAACTGCCATGATTGACGTGCGGCATGAGCTGCGCATTGGCTTGGGTGGACAATTTATAGCGGGCGTGGATGCTTCTCTGTGCGAGGGAAGGGTGGTCATGTCGCTTGGTAGCGTGCGAGCTCGGGGAAGGAGGTTCCTGCGTATGAGAGTGGGAGGCCTCTCCCAGCCTAAAGCGTGCTCTGGAAGCTTGTCTTTTCGGTCGCACACAGACGCCAATCGCAATATACAGGCATAAGTACCCCTTTATTCACTGTCTTGTGTTCAATCACTTCGATGCCATCCTAGGTCAAGCTCCCCACAGGCCATCGTGCCTATCATTCACAGCACCTTTGCTCATTTCACATCGCACTCCCTCCTCCCCCTCTCCCCTCCCTCCCTTCCCTTCCTCTCTCCCTCCCAGAAAATCCCAATGCATGAGCGTCCTCGCCCTCCTCGCCAGCGGGCTGCTCATCTGGAGCCTGGTTCTGAACGCTGTCTATGGTAACGTCTTCTACGACACGCTGTTTACCGTCCTCGGCCTCTTCCTCCTCGCCTCGGCCCTGACCCTGCGTGCCTTCCACCGGAGGCGACAGAGGCTGGAAAGACAGGAGAGCCGGAGGGAGGAAGTATCCATGGTGGTGGCATGTGCGAGGGAGGAGGAGAACGACGGGAGAGAGGAAGGGAAGGAGGGGGCGATGGAGAAAGGGGTAGGCCTAGCTAGCCCTTGCCGGGGCTGGACAGGTGACAATTGTCCGGAGGACAGAGAGGAGCCAGAGACAGGGAAGGAGGAGGGGGGCCAAGGGAGGGAGGTGGAGGAAGGGGGGGAGGTGGAGGAAGGGGAGAGAAAAGTGAGGTCGGGGAGAGGGAGGAGCTCGGAGACCGGCCCCCCGAGGTGCTTGGAAGAAGCCTTGCTCCCCCTTCCCCCTAGTCCTCGCCCCCCGCCCATGCATGGATGGCTGCTAGCCTTGCGCGTGAAGGAGCGGCATTACATGCCCGTCCTGGGGGGCGAGACGCAGGTAGGGACCTGTGCGGCCCGTTTCTTTGTGAAGGTGGTGCTGGGTGGTCGTTGATGGCAGGATGTGGGATGGCCCATGGAGTCCGCAACCCTTCAAGGCGAGGGAGGGAGAGAGATCCTTCCGATGGTTAGGGCGTCTCTTGCATGCGTGGCCAGACCCTTGTCATCCCCCTCCTGGCACCGGGGCTCAATGTTCATCACCCTAATTCTCTCCGTCCCGCCCTCCATCCCAGGCGCTTTCCGTCATCCTCCTCGGCCTCCTCCTCGTCTTGTTCGCCGCCATAATATGGGAGACGAGTGAACAGCTCTGTCCTCTCCCTCACTGGGGCTGGTTGAGGTATCTGCGCTTACACGCCCTGTGGCATCTTTCGATAGGTTATGGAGTCTACCTTCTCCTACAGGTACTGGTGATGACACTGCCTTGTCAACATTGAAGGGACCGCGACGCTGGAGCTTTATAACCGTTCACTTCATTTCAGTAACCATCGCCTCTCCTCCCCTCTCTATCCCTCATCCTCCTTCGCCGCGCCCTCCTTCCCCCCTATGTCCAGGCATCAGCGCTTCTCTCCGCCCCAAGTCTCTTTGGGAAGCGCGCCATGTTCGATAATCGTCATTCGCGCCACATTTGGCTAAACACTTTCTTCCCCCGCGTTGTCTACCTAAACTGCACCTGTCAGTCAGGGCGTGAGAGTGGCGGGAGGGAAGGGAAAGGAGACAGGGAGTGGTGGGTGATTTGTGTGGAATGTGGGCGGGAGGAGCGTCGGAGGGGGGAAGTGGAAACAGGAGGTTGGGATGTGCGTCAGAGGGAAAGCGAGAGGGAAGGAAATGGACGATTGATTGGAGGCAGCGAAGGAGGGAGACTAAGAAGCAGAAGCGCGTGCTCTACGGTAGGGAGCGAAGGGAGTGCAAGCACGTACAGATCCTCCTCCGCTTCCTCCTCGCCCCTCCACCCCTCCTCCACTTCTTTTCCCTCCTCCTTCGCGGTCTCCTCCTCCTCGTCCTTGGACCGCAATGAGGAAGGACGGTGAATCAAAGCCAAAATGGAGCAAATTTGTTTGGAACAATGACGTTAGCATGCCTGTTTTAGCCTATGAGACGAGAGATGTTGGGGCAATCGAAAGGCGGGAAAGAAAAATGGAGGGCATTTGCATTGTTGTATCGATAATGACACACGGAGGGGGAATGGAGTGGGGGAAAGAATGAGGCTTGTTGTATCGAGAAGAAAAAGATGACGATGATTGTACGAGTCGAAGTCTGCATGATTGGAGGGCATGGGCGAGACAAGGACAGCTGGGTGATGTCCCTCGGTGGAATCTCTCACATATATTGCCGTCATGTTATTGCTTTGTTGCGTCGGATTAATGCCTTTGTCGAAAAGAAGCGCCAAAACAAGCGGTGATCACTCCAAGCTAATCATCCATGTCACCCATCCCGCAGGCCTTCTCACGAGCTCCTGTCAAATTCGCAAATCGCCGTCTTCCCTCCATTTACATCCGCTCACTACCTTAAGCACCTATGCAACACTACTCATGACACCTTCCTCCACCCTCCCTGCACACGCACTCGATCCTATACACAGCCTGCCACAGTATGCCTCGACACAAACCAACTCTTCTTGGCCCATATCCACGTCGCACCAGTCTTCCACTCAGTCGTCTAACCTTTTCCTTACTTGTTCCCTTCTATGACCCGCTTCCTCCCATGATCCTTCTCAGTCTCTTAGTCGTGCCTTCACCATTATCTCCTTCGCCCATGCCTTCTCAATCTCCTCCCTTTCCTCCTCCCCGGCCTCCTCCCTTCTTGTCCTCCACCTCTCCCTCCCCCCCTTCCTGTCCTCCCGTCCTCAAAGTTTCCTCCTGGGCCCGCCAGCGCGTCATCATCTCCTCTATGCGTCTCAGTCCCTCCTCCACCTCCTTCCTCACCCAGCCCACCTTCCCTTCCACTCTCCTCGACCCTTGTACCCGTGCTCCCGTCGCCCGGGCCCTCACCTTAGCTTTCCTCACCAGTTTTGGCAACAGGGTTCGCGCCTTTTCCACGAGGATTCGCGCAGCTTCCTCTGTGCCTTCTTCCATCCCCTCTTTACCGTCCCACAGGTCCAGGGCGATGCTGGCTTCGACGATCGCCCACAGGGTGAACAAGTGCATCGCTGGGAGAAGGGAGGTGGTCAGGTGGACCCAACGCGTGCGAGTCGAGGGAGGGAGGGAGGGAGGGATGGAGGACGGAAGGGAGGGAGGGATAT